ATATGTTACATGTAATAGAGTGTGTAATATAATAGAATAAATATTAATAATGATATGATAATTTTTCCCTTACAGATGAAGACACTGAGACTCAGAGAAGATAAATAACTTGCATAGGGTCACACAGATGTTAATGACAGTGGAGGAATTTGAACTCCAGATGCCAGGCTAGAGGTCTCTCCATCAGACTATGTATATATATGTGGTGATTGGAACTTTCTGTCAGCTCTATTTCATCACTTGCTCTAGGTAGAATCAGAATGGTCAGAACATTAAGAAATCACTAAAGTTATGCTACTGTCTGAGAAGTTTCAACATGCTCCTGGGGGTCAGATGATCTCCAAGGTGTAATTCAGTGACACCTCCCTTATCTAGGGCGGACAGGGAAGGAGAGATTCTGCAAAAGTAAAGTGTGTAATTGTTCATATACCTAAAGCTTCCACATTTCAAATGAAGTCTAAAATTATGTTGCATATCACCCTGCATTCTTAAAGGTAGAATGCCAAGCATTCTTGTCAAATTTGGGCATCATTGTAAATCTCAATGTTTTTAGACTTTAATTTATAATCCTCTAGGGTTTTATACTCCAAGGTTCCAGACTCCCATGCTTTCTGGAGTTCCTGTTCTTTTTGTTTGTTTGTTTGTTTGTTTTTACTCCTCAATTGCTGTATTTACCTTTAAGAGTTTGTGCACTCTCTTCTCTCTTGCTATTTCCAGTCTGTTAAGGAATGAGGCTCTAGTCCAGAGAGACTTGATCTAGTAGGAGTAGATAGGTTTTAAACAAAGTCGAGGGTAATCCTTCTAGGAGTAAACACTTTCTACTGTCTTTCTTTTTAGGGGTGTGGTAAGGGCTTTTGCTGGGCTGCTCGGATTCTTTCACCAGACCAGTTGTTTTGTCACTCAGCTGCTGTGAGTGTTGGTGACCAATGGCTTACAGCCACACCCATCACTGAAGACTTACTCTTGGCCCTCTGGAGCTGATCCACCCAGAACTGCCTGGAAGGTTGTCCCCTGACTTCTGGGTGTGACTTGGTGACAACTACTGATGAAGTAGTATAAAAGCCCAACCCATTTGCCTCCAGGTGGGACAATTCTGTGAGGCCACCCCTGTCCCAGAACTTCCCATAGGATTGATCTGAGGCTGGACCACAGCTGAACCCATGTCCTCACTTTGCTTCTCTGCCCTGTCTTGCTTCTCTCACTTCCTTACAAATCCTTCTGGTGAGCATTTGCTTAAGTCCCCTGACTCAGCCTCTGATTCCAAGGACTCTAACCTATAACAGGCTTCCCCTGCTCCTGCTTTTCATTTTTTCGGCTATATGCTGGAGAGGTAAGGTAATAAAAGACTTCTGTACTCTTTCCTGTCCCTTCTCTCAACCCAACACTGAGAGGACAGCCTAATCATGAAATAAAGACTGCATAATGAGAAAAAAACAACTTTCACAGAAAGATATATTAGAAATGCCTTCAGTTCTCACTCTTGAAAGTTTGATCTGTAAAGGAACTTGAAATTGTCCTGCTGAGGGCTCCTTATGTTAGAGGAGTCTGGCTATCTATATATAGAATCTATCTATATATAAGAATTGATAGGATCAAGAAACATCCGAGAGTATCTCTATCCTCAGACCCCTTATTCTATCCTTGTAGTCTGAAAGGCTACAATTGCAGAGGCTTTCCTTATAATTCACCAGGCTCTCATCCAGCCCTGGGTGAAGGGAAGTGGGGGAATCAGTGGGGATGAAAGACAAAGAAGAAGGATTGTGAGCTCATTTTGACAAGGTGGGGATATGGAGGTAGTGGGGAGGGTGCTAAAAGAAGGAAAAAGAAAGAAATCGGAGCTTGAGGAGGTAATCTATGTTTTCTTCACAGTGCTGATGGGGGCAGGTTCTGTCTGCTTGAATTCACACGAATCACACGTAATCCAAATATTTTGATTATTTTATTACAGACTAAGTAATTCCTGCCTTTGTTCACGTTTTCCCTAATAGTAACAATAGCAACAACAAATATTGTTTGAACAGTTACTATATGCCTGATATTGTGGTAAGAGTTTGCCTATATTAGCTCATTCAGTTCTCCCCAAAATCTATGCTGGAGGTGTTGTTAGTACTCACTTATCATGGAAGAGGAGATTAGAGTTTAGGGATGTTAACTTGCTCAGAAACACAGATGGTACGTGCCATACCTAGGTTAATCCACCTCCCTCCACGGTCAATACTTAAACCACTGTGCTACAGGACTTTTCCAACCATGGCTATTTGCTCCTTCCTCTGCCATTTTTTATGCTTTTTGTCCTTTGAGGCCCATTTCAAGTTTCCTTCATACTAAATACTATTACTGAGCACCTTCTCTCTGTATTGTGTCCTCGTCCTCCATAGAACTTGCCCACACTGTTTTCTACCTTCTTTAAACACCATTGAGACTTTAAGGTAGAAAGTGAATCTTACTATGAATAGATTTGTATTGTTTGCTAAGTGTTTTTAGTGGGTTTATTTTGTTTTCTTTCCCCAAAGATTTTAAACAATCACTGGGTCAGGATCAAGTCTTTCAGGTCCCCCTTTTTCTCAGCAACACCCAACACAGTGCTGGGAAGATGTGGTAGGAAGCCCCTGACTCTTAACCCATCCAGTGGCTGTATTTTAAGGAAAAAGAAAGGCACATGTGTGGATCTGATAAGTTCCAAGTGCTATCTGGAGAAGATGCCCCATTAAGTGACGATCAGCTATGTTTACCATTGAAGTCCATAGCAGCAAGCCAAGAAAACTGTCGCAGAGTCTGGGGACAGAAGTTCATGAAGATCACTGCTTGACAGGTCAGGGTAAAGGTCCCTTTCTTTCAAAATATGTGAAGGGGCAGGAAACGTGTGCACCAGGTGTTTTGTGTTCATGGCTGCCTGGGAAAGATAATTCTGTCTGTTCGATAAGAACATTGTGCTCTACACGGCAGGTTGTTTTTCCAGCAGCTATTTTCTGCCTATAAAAAAGAGCATCGCTGGCTCTCAACTTCTTTCCGCAAATCCCTTGGGCTATAAACAATAACAAAAGGTACCTTATATTTATACAAAGCTGTCCTTAGAAAAGCTCAAGGACCCAAACGAAGCTTGTTTTCCTATATGAGGTCTTATATAATACAATCCCCAAGGGAAAGAAGCAGAGGGTGACAATTTAGTTAGGAATGCTGTCATTCTCAGCTAACAAAAACCGAAAAGTGAGCTCTACCGCGCAACGCGCAGACGGTCGTGACCCGGACAGGAAGTCCGTCTTCCCCACTTCCTGTCCTGGGTTCTGCACACTGGGCCACACTGCCTTGTCAGAAGTCTGAAAGGAGGAGACACTGGAGGAGAAAGATTGTTGAGAGAAAGCCCAGGCACACGAGAAGAGATGCTGCAGTCTCACTGTCTTTGGGGACTGCTGTCTTCCCTGGTCAGGATTCTCCAGCTCCTACAGAGAGCGTCCTTCTTGTCCTTAGTAGAACAGATGCTGGGGAGAATTTCCATCACCCTCATTAGGAGTTATAGCTGAATCACAGCACAGTTTGGAGGTCTGGGTGGTTTTGGGGAGAAGAACTATCCGAGCAAAGGGCATCGTGTAAATATTTATTGCACTCTTGGATACAAAGATGAGTAAGGCATAAGCTCCACATTCAGTAAGCGCATCATCTAGCAGGGGAGATAAACACAGGATAAAAGGCTCTAGGAGTGCTGGCTGAATACAATAATGGAAAGGCTGTTACTTTTGATTGTAAATTTCAGTCAGGATGCTATCAGGCTGGGAAAGAGGCATTTTGGCTGGAGTTTGAAGGATAAGCAGGAATAGTTTTCTTTCTTTTTTTTTTAAAAGATTTTATTTATTTACTTGAGAGAGGGAGAGAGAGACAGAGTGGAGTGCATGAGAGGGGAGGTCAGAGGAAGAAGCAGATTCCCCATGGGGCTGGAAGCCCAAGGTTGTACTCGAACCCAGGACTCCGGGATCATCACCTGAGCAGAAGGCAGTCATTTAACCAACTGAGCCACCCAGGCACCCTAAGCAGGGAGAGTTCTAAAGGATATCTTCTTGCTGAGATGGTCACTGTATTAAAATAACCTGAGGCGCTTTTAGAACATACCCCATCCTTAACTAATCAGATGAAATTCATCCGAATGTAGCCTGGACATTAGTATTGTTAAAGAGCTCCCAGGTGATTTCACTGAGCAACCAATACAGACAACCAGAGAAAAAGTATCAGCTTCAGAATTAACTCGTTCTAGCACCCAGTGACCTTGGGCAAGGTCCACTGGGGGGTGCCGCAGTGTGAGTCTTCCACAACTTCACTGTTTGTTTCCTCCTACTTCTACCCACACCTGTGAGGAAACTCTGCCATGGGAGAGTCCCTCTCTGACAAACTTTCCTTGAGAGAAAAACTGTGGATTGGGAGTCAGGAAATCTGCATTCCATCCCAGCTCTGCCACTGAGGTGCTGCGTGGGTGTGATGAGTCACATAAGGAAAGAAAACAAAAACACTTAGAATTACTATTGGCAAGATATTGCTCTAGGTACCCAAGGCATTTCTAGATCTCAATTACCCCACCTGTTGAGGTTTCTAGACCAGTATTTCTAGGTCATAAAGTCTATTTAATAGACTATAACCAGAATTATTTTTTAAAGATTTTATTTATTTATTTGACAGATAGAGATCACAAGTAGGCAGAGAGGCAGGCAGAGAGAGAGGGGGAAGCAGGCTCTGCACTGAGCAGAGAGCCCGATGTGGGGCTCGATCCTAGGACCCTGGGATCATGACCCGAGCTGAAGGCAGAGGCTTCTAACCCACTGAGCCACCCGGGCGCCCCTAACCAGAATTATTTTAAAAGAAAGATATGAAACATAGTAGAAATGAAGTGCACCGCATGGAGTAGGAAAAATATTGCATAGTAAAATTTCATTTCAGTTATTTGTGCATGTGTTTACTGGGTCATGATATAAAATATATTTCATGTTGTAGTTTGGAAGTTTAAAAGTTTGAGAATGCTCTCTTTAGCAGCACATATGCTAAAGCTGAAATGACACTGAGAAGATTATTGTGGCCCCTTTGCAAGGATGCCATGCAACTTCGTGAAGCAGTCCATATTTTTTTACGTTATATGATTTTAATCACATGTTTTTTAAAAAAGTTTGAGAAACGTGGGATTAGGTGTTCCTTATGGACCCCTCCCTTCTAACCTATAGCACAGGACTACTCTAACCTGCTGAGAACTCTCCTTTCTGTGACCTTCTTTTACTTAGTATCATGTAATTCTGGCTTATCATTTATTCCTTTTAAGGGGGAGCCAGTATGCTGTAGTGGTTAAAAGCACTCTCTTGAGTTAGCTAACTGCATGTTTGAATTTTTCTTCACTTGTTAGTTGATTGATCTAGAAAATGTACCCAACTTTTCTCCACCTTGTTTTTCATATAGGTGATAAAACCCAGGACAAATATGGTTATACAATTAAATAGGAGGGTGTAGGTAAAACTCTTAACACAAATCACCTTGTTCACAGAAGGTACCCAGTGATGATCTGACTTCTTGTTCCACTCAGACTTTTTTTTTTAAGATCTTATTTATTTGAAAGAGAGAGTGAGGGAAGGAGAGAGCACACATAGAGAGGGGCGAGCAAAGCGAGAGGAGAATCTGATTCTCTGCTGAGTAGGGAGCTCAATGTGGAACTCAGTCCCAGGACCCTGAGATCATGACCTGAGCTGAAACCAAGAGTCAGATGTTTAACCGACTGAGCCACCCAGGTGCCCCCCACCCAACCCCACACTCAGGTTTCAAGGTACAGTCTATAATTTAGTGCCTGGCTTATACAAAATCATAAACACCTTCTGCTTATCTGATTGGAAAAACAAGGATTTCCACTTCAAGCGAACCTAATGCTGGAGAGCAGTTGTTCTCTGTTGGCATGCCACATTACCATACAGGTCTTGGGATGAGAAGCTGGGCATTCTTTGTGTCCTCTGCCTATACATTACTTCATACTTTTCCTCTCATATAGTCAGCTGGACCTGGGAAGGTAAAACAGGAGGAGGCAGATCCTAGCTATGACTTGCTTCAAGGATCAAAACAACAATGACATTTCAGTGCCAACAAAAGAAACTCATAATCTACTCTATCACAGACTGGGCATCTATCTGAGAAGGTTTTGGAAAGAAGCCTAGGACAAAGAAATGAGAAAGAGCTGGTGGCCCAAACACTGAGAAACTAGGGATAAGATTCAGGTATTATACCAGAACAAATGACCATTATCAAGAAGTCAACAAATAAGCAACTCATAGGTCCTAATTGCCTCAGAAATAGGCTGGGGACCAAGACATTGTCTTGTAAATGATTCATTTCAGAAAATGCCTACTAATCAATTACTAGGATTTCTGTAAAGTAGTTTCTCCAGATTTATAGGTGGTGATCATGGGAATTGGATCATTGATTCTAGAATGAGAGAAGCATTGATACTGGTAACCTAATCTACTTACTCCAAGTAGCTACAGAGAAATTAGCTGCTGTTAGTGGAAGCCAGCTCATTACCAAAGAGTGAAAAGAAACCCATTCATCATGGCAGAGCCTCACACCAACCCAGTCTCCCTGGAGCATTCAGCTATGCTGAGAAGATGTTGATGGAGAAGGGGATAATGACCCATAAACAGATAAATGAAAAAAGGAGTAGGGGGTGATGAGAAGGATTGAGGGAAACCTCATGAGCTTGCACATGGAAAAAATGGGCCTTAAAATCATAAGTGTGTTAAAGTACAGTATTACAAGGACTATATAAATAGTATTACAAAGAAGAGAATTGTTGAAAGTAGCCCTCATTGCTAGTATGTTTTTTTTTTTCTGGAAGAAAACTTGGTTTGAAATTGGTGAAAAGAAAAAAAAAATGTATGTGAATAACATAGCCCCACCTAAAAATATGTTGCTAACACAATGGTTTTTCAGGAAAGAAAAGGCAAGGATGCCTAGAAATAGCTGCGTCTAATCAGCCCCCATCCCAAGCAATCAAATGAAGTCCAGGAAATTCCATATGTAACCAGAAGAATAGACATCCTGGAGCATTTTGCCACAGTTAAGATTAGCGGAAACAGACCCCCATCAGCACTAGGAACAAAAAAGAACTAAAGGTGAAGAAACCACTGCAGGTCCCTGTGCCTCCCTTCTGGAAAGGTGGTGGCCTCGAGGTGAGAGGGATGGGACTGGGGGCTGTTACTGGGGCCACACCAACAGCCCTTTGCTCTGAGACTGCCCCTTCAAGAGCAACACAGAGTGCTCTGTTTCTCCTGGGAAAATAATAAAAACAACAGTGGGTAGGGCTCAGCTTATCCTCCTGATTTATTCTAACCATCTTTTAAAAATGTTTGTTAACACAACCAGGGTTTATGATCAACACTTTCTGGGTCTTGTTTAAGAAATCCTTCTCCACCTAAAGGCTGTAAGGGTCACTCTGCTGTAGTTTTTTTTCTAAAAGATCCCAAGTTTTCCCTTTCACAATGAATTCCTCTTCTCTATGGAAATGAAAGTCACAAATTTCACTTTATTGAAATTAACAACTTCTGCTTACTGAGAATATCATGAAGAGAATAAAAAGATCAGCCATGAACTCTGAGAAAATCTTGATACTACATCTGACAAAGCAATAGGATTCAGAATATATAAAGGATGTCTGCAACTTGTCAAAAAAAATGTCCAGAAAACATGTTGTAATTTATAAAAATAAACATGATATAATTCAGAAAACTAAATAAAGATACTAAAAGATTCTCAACTTTGAGTCACCTGGGTGGCATCCAACTCTTGGTTTTGGCTCAGGTCATGATCTTAGGGTTCTGGGATTAAACTCCACATTGGGCTATGTGCTCAACACAGAGTCTGCTTGAGATTTTCTCTCTCCCTCTGCCCCTCCTGTTCTCATGCTTTCTTTCTCTCTCCCACTCACTAAATAAATAAATAATCTTTAAAAAAATTAAAAAATTCTCAGGGTGCCTGGGTGGTTCAGTCAGTTAAGTGTCAGCCTTTGGTTCAGGTCATGATCCCAAGATTCTGGGATCAAGCCCCATGTCAGGCTTCCTGCTCAGTGGGGAGCCTGCTTCTCCCTCTCCTTCTGCTGCTCCCCCTGCTTGTGCTCTCTCACTCTCTCTGCCAAATAAATACATAAAATATTTTTAAAAATACATAAAAATAAAGGATTCTCAACTTTGTTAATAATCAGGGAGATGCAAATTAAAATCATAGTGAGATATCATTTTATAACCACCAGATGGACAAAAAATTCTGAAGTCTGATAATACTAAATATTGGTGAGGATGTGGAAAAACAGAATCTTATATACTACAGTTGGGACTATAAAAGAGCACAAGTTCTTTGGAAAATAACTTGGCATATCTAGCACAGGTAGAGGTTACATTTCTGTGGTCCAGCAATTTTATTCTTGGGTACATACCCTAGAGAAACCCTTGCACGTGTGCATTAGGAGACATGTATAAGGCCATCAGTGAAAGCACTATCCATACTTTCTCAGAGCTGAGCAAATATTGTTTGGGGAGAAATACATTGTGGTCAATTATTTTTAAAAAGCAAGAGTATGATAAACACAAAAACCAAGAAAGTGGTTGAATGTTTGAGGAGAAGACAGGAGGATGGAAATGGGAGAGGAAGACATGGCTAATTTCAATTATATTTTTAATGTTGGAATCTTCTGTTGGCCAAATGGACTTACATGTTTTTCACATATTCCACTGTAGGCACAGAATATTATATAATAAATTGCTTTTAATTTGTTTAAAAAAGGAGGTTGGGGAGAGAGAGAGAACAAAGAACAAAAATTTCTAATGGCTCAATGCCAAGAAAAATGAGATCTTGGTAATAGCAGTCTCACTAAAATATGGGGGTATGAGAGGGAAGGGTCATATGAGAAGTGATGGATTGCTCTCTGTGGAGGGTCTGCATAATATGTGTACCCCTGGAGGCCCTCCCAGAACATGCGCAGCTGTCCTTGTGAATAGGGCCTGTGCCCAGGCTCACATCCTATTACTCAGGTTGGCAAGTGTGCTGAGTGAGCAAGTGGTGATCAGTATAGGAAAGACATGCCACTCAGCACATGAATGTTGTATGTGGTAGATTTATTTTAGATAAGTTTATATGCAGAAAACTGAGGGCTGTTCTGGGGTAAGGCCTTTGATCCACTTTTGGGGATACTCTACTTTTTACCCTGATTGCATAAATTTGACACTGAATTACCTATTTTTTTTCAATAGTTACCATTTTGAATGTTATTCTAAAGACTCAATACTTGGGTCTTGGTGTTGTTGGACTTTGTAACCCCAAAACTACTCATAGCTACAACCCTCTTTCTGTTGCTATTTGTATTTTTAATATATTTGGGTTTTACCCACTTTCTTAAAAGGATTATAGTCAACCAGATGACAGGATTTTCTAAAGCCCTGTTTCGTTCATCCTTAATGTCAAGACTTGGCAAAATAAGTACTTGATAGGTTTTTTACTTTGAAAAGATTATAAATTCAAAGGAAATTGAAAAAGTAGTACAGAGAAGTCCTGTGTATTTTTCACTCAGTTTCCCCCAATGATGATACCTTACATAACTATGGAATAATGTCAAAAGAGGAAACTGACATTGCTGCAATGTGTGTGTGTGGTTCTATGCCATTTTACCACATGTGTAGATTCATGTAACCACCAACCAAAGTTGAGATGCAGAACTGTTCCATTATCAAAAAGATCTCCTTTTATAGTCAAACCCAGCCCTTTCCACTCCATTACTAACCCCTGGCAGTGGATAATCTGCTTTTTATTTTTATAATTTTGTCATTTTTTTTAGAATGTTATATAAATGGAATCATTTGGAATATGATCTTTTTAAAAAAATATTTTATTTATTTATTTGATATAGAGAGAGAGATATATATACAGCGAGAGAGGGAACACAAGCAGGGGGAGTGGAAGAAGGAGAAGCAGGCTTCCCGCTGAGCAGGGAGCCCTATGCGGGGCTTGATCTCAGGACCCTGGGATCATGACCTAAGCTAAGGCAGATGCTTAACCATCTGAACCACCCAGGCGCCCCAGTATATGACCTTTTGAGACTGACTT